AAATTCAAGCCTTGAGTTCCAATATTTAAGGATGCTGTGGACAGAAAGTTGAAAGATGCATGAAGCATCAAAGGAAGATGGAAGAAGTACACAGTCACTATATCAAAAAGAACTGACTCAGTGGAATTTCATAAAAAATAAATAATCAAGAGCCTACGGTGATCCTCACCCCACTGCTCCCCCATCCCCCCACTTGTTTCTCATTCTCCATGTGGGGGTGGGGAGGGGCAGTGTTTAATCATAGGGTCACACAATTTGATGGGGGGAGCTGAAGTAAATGGGAAAGATCCAGTGTGGAATAAAAAATCCTACACAAACTTTGTAAATAAATCAGAATTTTTTTTTAAAAAAAAAGGAGCCTATGGTGATAAAGAAGCAAGTACAAGCTGCTCTGAAGGAACTAGCAAAAAACAAATCCCCAGGAACTGACAGCACACTACTTGATATATTGCAACAAACAGACACTGCCCTGGATGCACTTACCAGGCTGTGCCAAGAAATATGGAAAACAAACACCTGATTAACTAACTAGAAGAGATTTATATTGGTTCCCATTAAATAAAAAAAAAAAGAGTGTGGACATTATCAGACAATATCATCTGCAAGTAAGATCCTGCTGAAAATTATCCAAAAACTGGAACAGCACTTCAACAGAGATGAGGCCGTGGCAGTAGGGATATTATAGCCAATGTTGGATCTTAGCTGAAAGCAGAGAGTACCAGAGGAAAGTCTATCTCTGTTTCATTGACTATACAAAAGCATTTGACTGTGAGGATCACAACAAATTGTGGCTAACTCTGAGAAAAATGAAAATCCCAGAACGCTTGATTGTGCTTATGTGAAACCTGGACCTGGACCAGGAAGCAGTCATCAAAAGAGAGCAAAGAAACAAACAATGCATGGTTCAAAATCAGGAAAGGTGTACACCAGAGACGTGTCTTATTTCCACACCTTTTTAATCTATATGTAGAACAGACCATCCAGGAGACTGGGCTCTATGAGGAGAGATATGGTATCAGAACTGAAGGAAGACTCATCAACAACCTGCGTTATGCAGATGACACAATCTTCTTTCCGAAACTGAGGAGGACCTGAGGCACTTGCTGCAGATGGTCAAGGACTGTAGCCTTCACTATGGATCGAAGCTCAATATCAAGAAAACAAGTTCTCTCCACTGGACTAATTAGCAGCATTATGACGGATGGTGAAGAGACTGAGACTGTTAACAGCTTCAGCTTGCTTGGCTCTATAATAAACACTCTTGGTACCAGTAGCCAGGCAAGCAAAAGACAAACTGTATTGAGAAAACGTGCTGTCAGGAACCTCTCTACCGTAATGAAGAGCAATGATGTCAGTCAGGAGACTAAGGTATGCTTGTTCCAGGCCATAATCTTTACGATTACTTGTTATGCCTCAGAGAGCTGGACAATGACTAAGTATGAAAGAAGAAGAATTGATGCCTTTGAGTTGTGGTGCTGGAGAACAGTACTGAATATATCATGGACTAATAAGAGGAAAAAATGTTTGTCCTGGACCAGGTGAAACCAGGTTGCTTCTAGGAGGCAAGGACTCTGAAGCTTCAGCTGACATACTTTGGGCATGTTACAAGGAGGGACCAGTCCTTGGAGAGGGAGGGAACTCTTACTTGGAAGGGTACAGGGATAGAACAAGAGAGGAAGACCCATGGTGAGATGGACTGACTCAGTGACTGGGTGTAGGTGTGTCAGAGACAATGAAGGTGGCTCAAGATAGAGCAAGGTTCGGAGCTGTTGTACATAGGGTGTACTATAAGTTGGATGTGACACGACAGCACCTAGTAATACTATTTTTTATGACTATTAAGAATCCTGAATACTGCTTATTCATTAGACGTTAATAAACATAACCCTGAAAAGGTGATCAGAGATAAGGAACAGAAGATGAGTCAAACTCTTCTTTTTCAACTATAGTTTTAAGCTAAAAGCACATAGTCTAGAAAATACAAAGATGTATTACAAAGAAAAAGGTATTCATGAATTAATATTTTATTCCTCTATTTTCTTTGTTGCATCTGATCTTTAAGTATGAACTGCTTCAGCAATTTAGTAACTGAAATCAGAAGCCAGGTCCTACCATTGTCTCCCTCTGTGACTCCACAAGTCAAATCAGTGCCATGAATTTATAGTCTCTCAAGTAAAAAAGTAGAGAACTGAAAGGCAGATTACCTTGGATATTCCAATCAAAATTAAATTATATAATTAAGAAAACAAAAAGGAGCTAGAGTCAGAAAATCAAAAGGGCCGAACTCGCTCAGCATTTCTTAAGCTCAAGGAACTGAAGAAGAGATTCAAACCTAGAGTTGCTGTAATCAAGGATGCTTTGGGCAGAATATTAAATGATCCAGGAAGTATTAAAAGAAG